TTGTTCCCTTATTAATTTTCTGACTGAAAGACCTCTCTAGTGATGGTAATGGGGAGTTATAGTCTCCTACTGTGATTGTGTTCCCGCTGATTTCTCCCTTTTTGTCTATTAGAATTTGCTTTACGTATTTAGATGCTCCTATTTTGAGTGCATATTTCTTAAATGGTATAATGCCCTCATTTTGTATTGCTCCTTTAATCATTATATCATATCCTTGTTTATCTTTATGGCTTTTCATGTAAAGTCTATTTTGTGTGAAGTCAGTAGTGCTAGTCCTGCTTTCTTGTCATATCATTGGCATGGAATATATTTTTCCATCTTCTGACTTTCAATTGATGTGTGTTCCTCTTACTAAAATTAGTCTCTTTTATGCTTCATAATGTAGGGTCTTGTTATAATATCCCATCTGACAATATATATCTTTTGATTGAAGCGCTTAGTCTATTAACAAGTGTGATAAATATAGATAGACTGCTGTTTATTTCCATTTTGAACTTCATTTCCCAGTTGAATTTGTATTTCCTTTTTGTTCATTTCTTTTTCCTTCTGTGGCTTGATAAGTTTTCTTTTAATTATCTTCATTTCTTTTTTCTTTGTTAATTCATTGTAAGATTTAGACTTATGGTTATCCTGTTTTGTATGTATATTGACCCGTTACTATATCTGTTTATGTTTACTGACAGGAATACACACTTTAACCCCTCCTACAGAGAAAAGAAACAAGAAGAAAATACTCTGTATTGTCTTGTTTCACTCATTGATCCTTAAAAATTTTGATGTCCTGTTTTACAATATCATGTATATCCTATTGTATGTCATTGTAGCTATTGCCTTTCTAATTATGACTTTCTCCTTTCTATAGAATCCTGCTTTTTTTCTTTAGTGTAGATCTTTCATTATTTCTTTTTATGTTGCTAAATTCTTTTAGTATTTGCTTTTAGGAAAGTTATTTATCTCTCCTTCTATTCTAAAGGATAGACTTGCTTGATAAATTATCTAAGTTTAAAGTTTCCTTTCATTCAGGACTTTGAATATGTCTTGCCACTGCCTTCTGCCTGTTGTATTTGTGTAGGAAACATGTTTACAAATATAATGTAAATAATTATATACATATGTAAATAATACCTAGAAATGAAGCTAACAAATAAGATGAAAACCTATACATTAAAAAATAGAAAACATTGATGAAAAAATTAAATCTAATAAAAAGAATTGAAATGATCTCTTATGTTAATGATGTGAAAATATATATTTGAAACAAATATACTACACAAAGCAATCTACATTTAATGTGACTCATGTCAGAATTCCCATGAGATTTTTTCATTAAGCAGAACAAATAATTTCAAAATTTATATGTAATCACAAAGATCATGACTTGCCAAAATAATCTTGAAAAAGAGTATTAAATCTAATAGTGTAAAATACTCTGATGTTAAATAGTCCTATAAAGCTTTAGTAATTTAAACAACATGATACTGGATAAAAAAGAGACACCAATCAATAGAAGAGAATAGAGCAACCAGAAATAATCCCTCACACCTATGATCAATTAACCCATGAAAAAGGAAGCAAGAGTATAAAATGAAGAAAAGACATTCTCCTCAATAAGACATTCTCCTCAATAAATAGTGCCGGGGAGATTGAACGTGTGAAAGACAGATTAGTGTATTTCCTCAAATTGTATACAATATATGAACACAGAATTACTTTTATTTATTTTGTTTACTTATATTTCTTGCACCTTTAATTTATAGATCTATGTTTATATATTTTATTTCACTTATCAATTTTATTCCTATTTTAATCTTTTTGGTATAAGTGTACACACAATTGTTTCCTAATTTCTCTTTCTGATAATTTGTTGTTAGTATATAAAAATGCAAGAGATATTTGTATATTGATTTTGTATTCTGCAAGTTTACTAAGTTTGTTGACTATTTCTAATACTCACTGGAGGAGTCTATGGAGTTTTCCATCTATTTATAATTATGTCATCTGTAAAAATTGTATTGCTTGTTTACAAGTTGGATGCCTTTTATAATTTTTCTTGACTAGTTTTTATAGCTAGGACTTCTAGTAGTGTAATTTAGAACTTGTGAGTATAAGCTACTTTTTCGTATTACTGGACCACAGGAAAACTTTCCTGTATGTTAACATTGAACGTGATTTTAGTGATGGGTTTTTCATATTTGGCTTTTTTATCTTTAGTTATATTCTATCTATAGATAATTTGTTAAGAATTTTCTGTATACAAAAGTTAAGATCAGTTCTGTCAATAATTATCCTACATTTTTTGAGATTGTTACATTTGAATTCTCTGTTTTTTGAGGGATGACATCACATTTATTAATTTGCATATGTCAAATAATATTTATGAATCAGGACTAAATCATACTTAACTATAGTTTATAATACTTATAATATGCGATGAATTCAGGTTGCTAATATTTATATAGAATTGAATATAACATTCTGATGGAAAAATTTACATTGTAGATTGAGTGTACATTTATTTATTTAAAAATTTTATCACTCATTTTGAATTTGGCTTATGTTTAATGGAATTTATTTCTAAGTAAAAAATATAACTTTTGGAAGAACTGGATTTACTACAGTTTTCTGATACAGCTCATAGCTATTATTTATAATTAGTGTACAAATTAGTTGCTTTAAAATGCAGTATTTTACTTACAATGACAACTGTTTCAAGACTGGGAAATATATTACTTCCTAAAATACATTACCTGGTCTTTTCCACCCCAACCCACATATAATGATATTTCTTTGTTTTTTGATTTTTGTTTGTTTACCCCTTAATGGAGTCACAGCTTATAGAACCCAGGAACTTGTGCCTAACTGTATTTATCAACATCATTTCAAAACACATAACAGAAGCCACAAGAGTATGGATTATAAAGATGACAAGAAAATTTATGCCTTCTAGGGACTGAAAAACCTCTGACAGAAAGAATGGCAAAAATAAACATTTGTAAGTGTACAGTAAGATATTCTATTGTTTAAAAGCAGAATATTAAAATACATTTGTTTTACTTAGAGCACTGAAGTACAATTTAAAACAAAAATTCCCCCCTTTGGGATTTCTTAAATTTGATTGAATATTTTAATCTAATTTTAATTCATAAATATTTACCATTCATTTATAAACATAACTAATAAACTGATATTTATTCTGCTGATGTTCTGAATATAGAGCTACATATTGTAAAGTACACAGATAAATAATTACTTCCATTCCCAAATCAAATTTTGTTTCACTTTTCCTACAAATGTTAATGAAATTGTTATAACTTTTCTGTAGAAGTTTTACACAAATTTCTCTTTAAATACCAAAACTTTAAAATTATTTTATTTATTTTGTGCATATTTATACTCTGTTCATCAATCTGGTATAAATTTGAGTACAAAAGGAAGGAGATTGCTTTTATTTCATAGACGACAAAATCAAATTATTTAAAAAGATTTTGTGGGGAAAATATTTGCACATCATACTATAAAAATTAACATCCTATATGTTTCATTTTACCTGGATGAGTGAGAAGGAAACACTGGCTAAAGTTTAACTTGTCTTGCTAGGAGAACTGTCATTTTGTGATGTCACAGCCACTCAGGTTTAGAACCATTTTGATGGCATAGCAGTTTAAATGTGCAAGCCTGCTTAAGCAGCATTTGAAGCTGTAGTGCTCAAAATCAAGCAGATTAGAAATGTAGCTGTAGAACAAGTTATTTGAAATAGAACATATATCTTCAGAAATTCAAGATGTGTCTCCTAAAGTTGGACCAACTCTTTCAGGAAATTCCGGTACATCTCTGTTGTGTGATCAAACATTTTCTGAGGACTTGGAGTTGAGGACTATGATTGATGACAATGCTTTTCAGACTTTGTCTGAAGAATCCTTGATAAAAACCCCGTTACACACATTGTGTCTCTGTACCAGATGAAGATAGTGATCTTCGTTCTGTGACATTTCCGAGAAAACTCTGGAAAATGGTTGGGAGTGACCAATTAAATCCATCTGGTGGAATGATAATGGAACTTCCACAGTGATTGATGAAGATGTCTTTAAGAATGAAGTTTTGGAAAGAAAGGCCCCTTTCAGAATATTTGAAACTGGAAGTATGAAAAGTTTAGTTAGACAGCTTAATCTATATGGGCTTAGTAAAGTGTGGCAGAATTTTC